AAAATGCCTACTACAAACACGTATGGTACCTTGTTCATACACTTTTGTTCTTCATTAAATTTTGGTAACTGCTCTTTAGATTGTCTGAAATGACCACCGTAAGTGAGTCTATCTTGGCTTTGTATTCTGAGCATCGATTCGATTTAGAACCTTTTAGATGTACTTCTCTTAGGACAACTCCAAAATCTCTTTGGATCTGTCATGACCCAACGCGGGGTTTGATATTAATTAAGGCGGAAACAGACAGTCGGACGGTGGAAATCAATTCTCTATTATACAATTTTTATCACTAATAGTTTAAAATTTAAATATTTATGAAAAAGCCGCTAAATAAAGCAATTTAATTAACAAGCAGAAATTTACTCATTTTTTTGCGGATCTCGTCTCTTATATATATTTGCATCTCTTCCATTCATCTTGTTCAAATGCTTAAAACCTTAAACAATATTAATGCAACATAATGAGTTATCTAATGATAACTCGGGAGTAATCACACTTCTAAACTATGATAACCCATGAAAAATAAATTAATATGTATGTTGTTCTTTCATATCTTTATAAGAAATTTTGGATGATAATCTCTCTCTACTCATCCCTGACTGATATTTTCTCGCCGGTATAATAGTTAGTGATTTAACCATCATAATTGTTTGGGGTTTTAAAAATTTTCTACGTGTGTGGGTATACTAGCATCCCCTGTCTGCACCATTAGGAGGTGAACTCCTTTGAACAGACACTTACAAGCATTCATATATAAACTGATTCATTATTCGTAGTATACATTGTTCTGAGACATTTTTTATCATCTACTAATATGCATACTAACTCTGTTGTGCAACTATTCATCATACATATCTCTCATATCATGCATGTCTCTTATCGCATGCATATTTTTTTCTATTGTGTTATCATATATATCTTTCCCATCATGTATATCTTGCATATCATATATATTATGCATAACATGCATCTCATACATATCTTTTATGCATATCTTATAAATCTTTTCTGTCATGCATATCTTTTCTATCCAACAATATGAAGAATATAACTAATCTAGAGCATGCACGGGGTCAAACACATATTTTGAAATAAATGAGATTATTGAAAATTATAAATTTAATTATTCACCTTGGTTGTTATGCTGGATTTTTAATCTTTTGTAACTAGTTGATATTGTGATAACTTTTATATGGATATTAGTATCGAACAAAAATTAAACTTTAAGATTTAAACAATTTCAATTAATCATATTATTTTTATTAGTGAGGATTAATTTACCTGAAATTACGGATTCCTCTTATGACTAGCTTCCATACACTCGTCATGAGCTTGCCACCTCATGTAGATAACCTTGAAGTTGTAAATAACTTTGGATGTCATGAAATTTTGACTCATATCGTATTTAAAAAAAAAAACTCACTTGCCAAAACACACCTTCAACAAATTTCACCGCATAACCCAACTTTCCTCAGAAGTTGCCAAATCTACCTGCCTTTTCTTCTTCTTAATTCTGGCCTTTCTTATCTTCATTGATTTCTTTCTCAAGACCCGTACAGAAGTTTAGAAACCAATTCCATCACTTTTGACACAACCTCTTCTCCACTACGGCGACCAGAAACGAAAAAAGATGCATGATTCATAACAAATCTCAACATAGAAGTGTGAAAAACGAAAAAAAAATCTCAAATAGCATACCATTAAATTTTTTCACCAAAGCTGCAGCTTCTGGCGGGCCTCTCGCCGGCTGTAGATTTTGACTCGGCAGGTGGCAGCTGTGCTGTGATTGCGTCTGTGTTGTAATGTCGTGATTGCAAGACCTTGCTTTAGCCTTTTGCTGAACGTTGAAGCTCGCGCTATGAGGAAATGGGAGGGGAGAAAGAAAATCGATGGATTTGGAAAGGGAGCTAGCCCTTTGAATGAAACCAACGCTAAATATCGTGTGGAAGTCAGATGGGAACAGTAAAACAAGATTAAGGATGGGTAATTAATTAAATTTATTTAAACTTTTAAATTCTAATTTTTATATCTTCTATTCATACTTTATATATAATATTATACATCATTATGATTGATTTGACATATAGACATTTATAAAATTGTTGTGGTCGAAATCTGAAGGATGCAAAATTTTGGGTGCATTTTAAGTCATCAAAAATTTTAACTGATTTTACAAAGCTCGCTATTACAGAATCAATCCTTAGTAATCCTCATACCAAGTATTTATTTTGTTGTTCTCATGCCTTCAGGTTAAACTCCGTTGATACCTGATTTTCATAATTTATTGTCTCAATTATGTATGTTCCTTGTGTATGTTCCTGTAACTAGCATATCATCAATATAAAGTAGCAAAATAATATAAGATTTGTCAAACCTTTTAATGAAGCAATAGTGGTTTATCTTATATCTACTGAACCCATTTTTACGCTTGAAATTTTTGAACTTTTTGTATCATTGGCTTGGTACCTATTTCAGCCCATATAGACTCTTAAGAGGTTTGCACGCTATTTTTTTTTTTCCAAGACCAACTAACCCTTCAGGTTGTTCCATGTAGATTTATTTCTCAAGATCACAGTGAGGAAATCTAGTCTTTGCATCTAGTTGTTCCAAATGTAAGTCTTCATCTACAACAATACTTAAGAATATCCTGATGGTAGTCATCTTTATCACCAGTGAAAACACCTTTGTGTACTCAATCTCACGTGGCTACCTAAATCCTTCAACCAGCAATCTAGCTTATATATTTTGCTTCCATCAGACTCTTCTTTTACTCTATACATCCACCTATTCTGTAATATTCTTTGCCTTTGGGTAAGAGTTTCTCTAAAGGGCTCATCTCTTTGCTTTCTCCTACTTGTTTGAATCTCCAATCTATGATGCTTCTTAGAAGTATTCTGGTTATCCATTATTTGTCAATATTAAAAATTATAAAGATGGAGAATACATTTGTGTGGTTTTAGGTTATTCGGTAGACGTTCTCTATGGTTGAGTAATTGGCTCTCGGTCGCTCCCTTGTGAAGGGCCTTCTGCATCAATGCTAGGATATTTTGGGATTGAATCATCAAAAATAATTTCTTCATGATTTTCTTCATGCCTTTTAAATTATTCCGATTTTTGATAAAATAGTCTTTGGTCATCGAATGTCAAATGTTTAGCTTTTGTAACTTTTTTTATTTTGGTCATCCCAAAATCAATAACCAAAATAATCCGAGGCATAGTTAATGAAGTAACACTTCGTTTTTTCTTCAAGCTTATCTCTAGATTCATAATTAATACGTAAATATGACACAATTGAAAAAAATTTTGTGTGAAAGTCGTACATCTTTTATACTCCACTCTTTTTTTAGGGATTTTAAATCTCTAAAGAACATATGGTCATCCCTTAATTAAATACTCTAAAGGACATATGGTCATCCCTTAATTAAATAAGTTATTGTATTTATTGCATCTACCCAAAATCTCTCAGGCAAGCTAGAGTACTATCTTATGCTCGTCACAGGTTCATTTAGAGTTCTACTCATTCTTTTGTGTTTGTGTCATGTTTTTTTTTTAATTTCAAGTGTCGTTGATTGTAATCCTATTTGCTTTAGCATAAAATTTTTTGCTTCCTCTATTTGGTTTTTGGTTAACTCAGATATTGATTAGATTTCTAAAACAGGAGAACGATATCATTCATTGAGCAAAGAACAATTGAAAAAATTGACAGCGAAATAGGATAGAATGGATACATCGTAGAGAAGTATCAGCTTGATTAGTGATTCAAGCTGAGCTCATGAGAGAGACTACAACAGTATTAACATTGATTGTCTTAGGAGATAGAGAGTCCAATGAGCCAATACAGAAAAAGGGGCAGCCCTTGTTGAAAGAGTTGCTCGATATCCTGAGTGACAGTTTATCTCATAGGGGGCTACCACTGAGAGAGATTCAATATGCTATATACCTAAATCTAGGATTTTTTTCTGCCAAAACAACTCGCTAATGAGACAACAAGTCGAGTATGTGATGTTGCAAAAATATGTTACCTAATAATTAGAGGTCTGGTTCGTGAGAATGCTCATTTTTTAGCAGTTCCAACTCTGGTCATACTAAAAAAGGATGATTATTTTATTATGCCATGTTTTGGAATGTCGTGTTTAATTGTTGCATTGGATTGATGTGAACATAAATTTTGTAGAGGACTTGCCTTAGCAAAAATCATGTAATGACTTTACTCTGATAGTGTTAGATTCATTCTAGAAGCTTTTAGGAGGAAGTTGAAACCCCTCCTACCCGTTAAGAATGATGTGGGATGTGCTCATTCGGGAACCTTGATGCAGGATTCCACATTCGCCATAGGATCGCGGATCCTCCCGCAATCGTGGGATGTGATTTTCCGCCCCGCTATCAAATTCAGTTATAATTTTGTTTCCTTTTTTTTTTCCCCGATTTTGTGATTTCTAATTAGGGTTCTTTTTATGAGAGACCTTTTTTATGTGTGAGCTCTTGTTGTTTTGAAAATTTTGGCTTTGTTTTTGGCATTTGGAGATTGTAATCTCTATTTTCTACCTTAAGGAGTGTTGTACCCTATTCTTTTTACAAGTGGTGTATTGGTAGCTTGTGCAAGAATAGGTGGTGAACCACGTTGAGTGCAAGCTCATACTTCTGAGATCTGGGAGAGCCCTTGATGACTTTTGGCTTCCTATTTTATAGAAGGAATAAAGTTCCGGATTCAAAGTTTCATTTTATTAGTTAGAAGAGTTTTTGATCGGAAGAATATTTGTATTTTCTATTATCCTCGTACTCTTAGTTTGGTTCTACATTATCTGCTATCATAGAGATGCATGATTGCTAAATAGCGCATGCATGCATTTGCATGTAACACTATATCATTTCTAATGCCAACTTGGCATATAGCAGAATCCATTCTACATTTCAATGTTCTTCTCATACTAATCTTTAATTGATCTGTTTTATATAATCAGAAACTTGTAATTTTATCATACTATCTTTAACTTTTGCAGCTGCTTCAGAGAGCTTAGCAATCAACTATAAAGTCAGCTCTGCGTTGGTTGATATTGTTAGAAGAATAACAGTCCAACCTCGCTACATCATTGCCAAGGTTTTCTCAAAAGTTTTCTTGCTTTGTAAATATTTTATCTAAACTGATAATGCCTCAATTTCTGTACCATCCTGTTTCATGAGATCGTTTTATTATTTTTTAAGTAGTATCTAAGAAACCAGATAAATATAGATTGCTTTTTCTTCTGACCTGAATGATTTTATCAAATATTTACATATTATTGTTGTTAAGAAATTGATTCGGCACTACCTCTAAATGTTTGAATTACCTTTATGAGCATTGTATATTACATGAAAAAGGATTAACAGCTATGCTAATCAGTGAAATTTGCTCGTACCAGAACCTGATATGGAATGTTAATAATGTAGTTTTATGGATTTTTTTCTTCATGAAACGAAGCATCGTTAGAATTCTGTTAAGTGTATGATCCATGTAAATCTGAAGACCACAAATATTACTTGTAATGAAGCCTAGAGCTTCATCATAATTATACATGATGGTCTGTTTTTGGTTATGTATGTTTTGTGAAGGAAAACAGACCACCAATAAGGAAGCCGGATTCTAAAGTTGTGAAGTATATTTTCGTGGGTTATTCTGCTGTGTAAAAGGGATATGTTTGTTGGAGCCCTATAAAAAATAGACTATTTTATGAGCATTGATGCGTTATTTAGAGAGCTCAAAATGTACTGCACCCTGAAGGTGACCTCACCCTTTGGTGACTTGTCAGATACTACATGTATTAGGCATGAGGGGAAGAGTAGTGATGGTCAGAGATTGATACATGTGTGAACGATGCCTTCTGTCGTTTTGTGGGAAGGATCGACTGAAGAAGAGCCGAAAAATGAGAAAAATGAACCTGAAGGTGAAGAGATTCAAGCTCAAAAGGAACTAAAAGTGTATACGATAAGGCAGAATGAGAGAACAGTGTCAATCGTGCCACTCATGGTATCAAGTTCATTGTCCCGATCTACCCAACTCTTGACACCTACACCATCCATTTCAGAATTCGATTACCCAGGTGATATGATTCCTCTCCTTTCTCCTCCCACCCTCATGACTTTAAGTAGGCCCTTTGCAGTAATGTTGTTCGTTCTCCTATTTGTTATTCTCTTACTTGTTTTGGTTTCTTACATGACATTGCTTAGTTTGTCTCATACTCTAACTTATTGCCTGTGCACTGAGCATTCATTACATCTTTGGACACCATCTCTATTCCCAATTATTGGCAGGTAGCTACGGAAGATCCAAAGTGGAAGGTTGAGAGACTGGAGGAATTTGGTGCTCTTGATAAAACAAGACGTGGGAGATAGTACCATTACCAGCAGGGTAAAGAGCAATGCAGTGCAACTCACAGCAAAACAAAATCTAGATGGGAAAGTTGACCGTTACGAAGCACGATTGGTGGTGAAATGGTACAATTAGATGTATGATATTGACTGTGAAGAACCTTTGCACTTGTAGCTACGATAAGTACAGTGAGGACACTGGTTTCTCTAACTATCAATGGTGGGTGAAGGTTACACCAATTTGATATGAGGAATGTTTTTCTTCACGGAGAGTCACTGGAGGAGGTGTATATGAAAATATCACCAGGATTGGATATTGGTCAGATAGTGGGCAAGGTGTGTAGGCTCAGGAAGTCGCTTTATGGCTTGAAGCAATCTTCTCAAGCCTGATTTGACAATTTTAGAAAAGCTATGGTGGGCATGGGATATCAGTAGATGAATGTCGACCATACGGTATTCTTTTGTCAAAATGATGGTCGCATCACTATGTTTGTTGTGTATGTTGTTGACATAATTATCACTGGTGATGATGAGATAGAAATTGCTCAACTAAATGTACGATTGGACAAAGAATTTGAGGTGAAGGACCTTGGATAGCTTAGATGCTTCATTGGGATTGATGTGGCCTGTGGAACAAAGGGGATGGTATTGTCTCAGAGAAAGTATGTAATAGATCTCTTCATAGAAACGGACACGTTGGGATGCAAGTTTGCAGTTTCTCCAATTGATCAGAAAGTCAAGCTGAATATAGAGGCAGGAGAATCAGTTGATCATGTGAGATACCAGAGACTGGTGGGTCATCTGATCTATCTGAGTCACACTCTTCCTGACATCTCATTTGCAGTGAGCGTGGTGAGCCGCTATATGCATGATCCAAGGAAGGGTCATAGGGACACAGTGTTTTAGATTCTCAGGTAATTGCGGAGTGAGCATGTAAATATTGAGGGCTATTGTGATGTTGGTTGGACAAGTTATGCAGATGATAGAAGATCCACCTTAGGATAATTGCATGTTTGTAGGGGGCAACTTGGTCGCTTGGAAGAGCAAGAAACCATCCGTAGTAGCGAGGTCAACAACAAAGTTCGAGTACAGAGCCAAAGCCTTAGGAGTTGTTGAGATGATGTGGCTGAGAACCTTGTTGGTCGAGCTAAAGGTGGATCACAAAACTCAAATGAATTGTGACAACAAGTCATCAAGCGGCATTCCCAACAACCTGCTGCAACATAATAGGAACCAAACATGTGGAGATTGATAGATTCTTCATCAAGGAAAAACTGAATAACAGACTACTGGAGCTAAATCATGTAGCCACTGGAGAGCAAGTGGCTGACTGCCTCACTAAAGGATTTAGTTCATTAGATTTGTCTAGATTATGTGACAAGATGGGCTTTGTGGGTATCTTTTTCCCATCATGAGGGGGAATTTTCAGATTTGTATCTTTTGTTGAGGGTTCTAATTGTAAATAAGAAATATGGAAGAAGCCTATGATTTATTTGTAAAAAGGTTGTAAGGCTATATAGAAGCCCAACTCAAGAATGAAGGAAACATAATTTTTATCAAAGTACTCATTTCTTCATGTTGACTCGGCATCATTTGTTTATCCTTGTGTTTACCATTCTCAAACGCAATAGTTATATTTAAGAGTATAATACCAGTTTTGTTGTATAAATTGACTGATATCTCTAGCTGGTTTGTTAAAATAATTAATTATTTATTTAAGCAAGTAGGTGTTCAGCTGCAAATTTCTCTGGAGTAATCTGCTGATATTGCTGAAGATCAATCATTTACATGCTGCAAGCCTCAGCGACAGATGCATTTTATGCGATAATAACTAATAAATTGTACAATTACAACAGTAATTTACTTGCAGAAAGCTGAACCTGACGCCATCATTATCAATTTAATGTTGTATCTTTTTGTTCCATAAGCATTTTGAGAGCATAGATCTGTTGCAAGACAGCGAGAGAGGTTAATACTTTGTATGACTGTAAAAATGGTTTTGCAGGGTGGAATCACTTCATCCGATCTCGCAACAAAAGCTTTAGAGGCTCGTCGTGCCATTGTGGTTGGACAAGCATTACCTGGCGTACCATTATGGAAACTTGGTGAAGAAAGCAGACATCCTGGGGTTCCATATATAGTTTTTCCAGGTGATATAATTTTTAGTTGGGACATTTACATACATACCTTCCAATTCTTATGCATTTACATATCTAACACATATAATTTACTTTTTATTTTTATACCACTCAAATCTTATATTTCACATCAAAAATACCACTATTTTAACCTTTAGAAACTGAAATACACCTTTTCATGCATAGGTAAGGTGGCATATATTTAAAAATTAAGTTTAGGTATTAGATCTGTAAATATATAAGAATTGAGTGGTATGTATTTAAATTTTCCTTTTAAGTTTGTGGATTTTTATGTATAGGAATATCAGTTTTTTAGGAATTGAACTTATGTCTTTTAATTTTAGGCAATGTTGGTGGCAACAGTGCTCTTGCTGAAGTTGTAGAAAAATGGGCCTGCAGCCGTAGAGTTTCCACGAAGGATCTTCTTCTTGTAAGTTGCTTTATCAAAATGATTTGAGTGAAAAATTTTGATTTTTACTGGAATTTTTCTTGCACAAAGAGTGCTGAAAAGGGAGGGTACGCTGTTGGTGCTTTCAACGTTTATAATATTGAAGGAATTGAAGCAGTTGTTGCTGCAGCTGAGGATCAAAAGAGCCCTGCTATTTTGCAGGTAAGAAATCTTTTATGGCTTATGAAATCGTGTGTGAGTTCTCAAAAGTTCATTTATATTGTATTATAATTATTGAGAATTGTAGCCATTGATGTAATTTCAATATTCTTTTTGAATTCGGAACATGCCCTAAACTTAGGCTTTTTATTTCTGCTTCTGTCTGCTCATTAAAAGATACCAAAATTATGGGAGTTGAAGTTGTATTCAATATAACACTATAGCCCAAGTTTTTGAGATTCCCTGCCTGCAAAAAAGATTGCTTACTAGTGACAATCTATTAGAAAAAATAAATAAATAAATAAAACATGTGCAAGTCTATTTTTAAGATTTTCTTCGTAAAACCTTCATAAAAAAGGGACAAAATCTATGCTTTTGTCCCCATAAAATATTGTAGAGGTTACATAAGTATGAATATTGAACTTCTGCGACATTTATTTATTTTTCCTTTTTTAGTGTAGCATAAGGCAAATACAAGGACTTCCTTCAGCATAAGGAAATACTTAAAAAAAATAAAAATAACATGATGATCGAAGATACAAAATTCTTCAAAAGCCAATATAAACTCTCATTTTAAGCACTTTGCTAGCATGATTGAACATTGATGAATCTTGTGGCGTGACACTAAGGATCTGTTTGGGGCATTTGCAGCTATTTGAAGAAGCTTTGCAACTACAGCTGTGTGAGGAAGTTATTGTGGGGAAGTTGTGTTTGTTTGTTTAGTTCAGCTGTGCAGTAGTTGTGTTGCAGTTGTTTATAAGAAGAAGACATTGTTGCCTCTGTATTATTATGTTATTTTTAAGATAGCCATTCAAGGCCTAACAACTCATAACATAAATGCAGAAATTTCGTTTAGAGTTCTCAAAAACTAGCAAGTTCAAATATTACATCTAAAAGTGAAATTTCTTTTAACTGTGGATAGCACAACAATCAAAATAAAAAAAAGCATAACTTCACCCAAAGAACACGAACTCTAGAAAACCAACAACAACAACCACAAAAAGCATAACTTCTTTCAACATATGGATGTCCATAGAGAGCTCTAAACCAATGAAAAATGCATGAAAATTTTAGGGTGGGAAGCTCCGAACCAACGCAGATAAAAATTCAAAAACCAAGCCATGAAAAATTTCACAACCAAAAGCCACATATGTATATCATATCATAAAATCTTAGAAATTAAACTAAGATCAGTCAGAGCAGAGAGGGGAGTTTGAAGATTGAATATACCTCAAGGTTGATCACGGTAGAGAGATAAGAAGAATGATGATTGAAGGTAACGTGTGAACGCGGGCACAGTGTGAGAGAAGAGCTTGAGTTAGGTAGAGATCTTTGCTCGATAGGCACATCGCAAGGAGGGCAGCAGGGGAAAGGAGGGGTAATGTGAATAATATCCCTTCAAAGAAATGCGAACCGCGGGTGTCAACCCGTGGCGGGATATACAATGCAAGACTTGTCGTTTTTAACGAAATGCTGAAAATATGATTTATTCAAACAACAAAAATAGCGGTGGTGAGTCGTGCCTCGTGCCGCTGTCCCAAATGACCAGTATTTTTTTTCATATTTTTGCCTTATCTAACTAGGATTTGGCAACTTCTTCAAGCGGGTCTCCTCGCCTGTATTGGTTCGACAGGCTTTCTTATGTTGTGATATAACATTTTTTTTAATTGACATTTGGTTTTGCTTAATACTATTTTTTATTATTAGGGTTATATTTATATATATATATATATTGAAAGCCCAAAAAGGCTAATATATTAAATAAAAAGAAAGATACGGATACAATGTGTATGAGGGCCCAAAACCCTGCCCACACAAAAATCACAAATGGTTCTAAAACTAGAAAAAATAGAAAAATACATTAGATATTTAATTAGAAAGCCTAACTGATCAAAATACAGTATCAGGTGGCTAGAGAGCGACCCAATTTGATCTTGCCTTTGCCTCTAGTTCTAGAGAAGGAGCAAGCTAATAAGCTGATAAGATGATCGTCATTGTCAGTAGTAACCAATGTATCATCCAATGTGTTCCCGAGCTGGAGTCTGTTTTCATTCTTCTTCTTTCTCCTATAATAGACTTGTCATTCCTCATCCGAAGAATCAGTCTGATGGGGTGGTAGAGCTGAACAGAAGGAATACTAACAGTAGTACCCACAATAGGTTCTACTATATGTGAAGTATAAGTTGTCTTTACACCGGATACTTCCTGAAGAAGTAGAGCTATGAGGTTCTCCTTATTATCAGTCTGAACACTATCATTTGTAGGTAATAGTCCATCAGTATTGTTTTCTATAGGGTTTGAAGATGTCAGCATCACATCACTCGCAGTAACAGTAAAAGCAGTGTCATGGGGGGGCTCCTTAGGGGTAACAGGCACCTCCTGTCTGGTAGTATCCTGCCCAGGTGAAACTAAAATATCCAGAGTTGTGGGGTTAGACCCATCCTTATTCACTTGAACCTTAGATTTCAAATTTGGATGAAACTTATGGCATTTATCAAGGACATGACCAAACATCTTGCAGTTGGTACAATATGGGGGTCTGTGCTCCGTGATGATTTGTTGTCAATAACTATTATGGGTTGTGCCCAGCCAGACTTCAGTAACATCAGGTAAAGTAATATCCTTTTTGACAAGTATTATGGCCACCGAGGGTCTGGTTAGGTTGAAAGTAGGTATATCTAGTTTCAAAGGATCCCCAAAGATGACACCAATAGAATAGAGAACCTGATGGAGAAAAAAATGCAGCTTGAAACCAGGTAAACTAAATCATACCGGTACAGTGGGAGTTTCATGTTTTGGGTCGAAATCAGGAGACCACTTGAGTAGCTTCATAGGTTTACCAGCGATGTTAAGATATTTTTTGAAGAAAATCTGAGTGTAGTCCTCAGGCACGGTTAAGTGAATCAATACATGTCTCTCATCCATGAGCCTCACTTTCCACTTTCCTGTTAATTTGAGGTCATCAAAACTTTTCTTGATAATTTCCATAGGTTGGTGTTCCCACTGAAATTTCTCAATAAGAGTAAATTTGAATTTGTCAGTCATCGTTGAAATTGCTAACGTGGAGAAAAAGCGTGTCTTCCCATTTTTTTGCTTGCATTCTTAATAAAATGACAGTCACCTGTACCATCACGATGTTCCTTATAACTTGAAGGGAAAACAACCGACGTCTCCCCCAGAGAATTACCCACCACGTGGGCAAAGGAGAAGGTTTTGTCAGGTTCAACTGAAGAAGAAGGAAAGCTCAATCACAACAAAGAAACTGCAAATCGGGCAGAGGCAAAAAAATGAGCTGAAGAGCTGCACAGGAACCGAATGCGCAGAAGACAGAAGACGGCCCGAAGTCGCAGCTCGATCCGCGCAGAAAAGAACCGCAAAAGCTGGATGACTAGTTGGAAGGCGCAAAGGAGGAGATGATGAAATTGCACGTCGAAGCCCTTCGTTGTCGTTTGGCGCGAGAGGGAAGACAATTCGTCGTCGTCGTCGTCGTCGAGTGCGGGAAACAGCGTCGTCTTCGCCGAGTGCGGGAAACCACATCCTCGTCGAGTCTGGAATTAAACCTAGGACGCCGACGCCGACGCCAGTGCGTGATGGAGCTTATATATATGTTTCAATTTCAATAAAATCAGCTCTTGGGCTTTTCTTCACAAATACATATATACATACATATATACATACATATATATATATATATATATATAAACTTGCAGAAAACAAAAGATATGGATGAGCAAGTTTAGTTTTGTCTCTTTTTCTAGTTTTAGGAGTTGAGCCAGATAACAAACTTTGAAATATCGTGTCTTTGTCAGGAGTAACCAAGATATCATCCATTAAATTTCCAAGTTGGAGTGTTCCCCCAACGTTCTTCCATCAAGAAGTGTAAACATGTCATTCATCATCAGAAGATTGGCTCGTGTGATCTTCGGTCTGACTTAGAACCGCAATAGAAGGAAAGACAGTCGTGTTACAGCGATGTGTTCTAATGTATGTGAAGTGTGAATTGTCACCTTTGTTCCTTATGCTTCCTGAATAGGGGCATTATCCGTTATAGTATGATCAGGAGAAGGGTTCCAAGGGGCAGACACCAACTTCTGTCTTGTGGTGATTCCCCAGGTTAGCTGTCATACGGTTTGTTAGGAGCACATTTAGGCACGTTGGGTGCGCTAACATGTTTCTGCTTTTGACAATTGGTTCTCAACTGTGGGTGCAATCTGAAACATTCCTCCTGCAAGTGTCCAAACATCTTACAGTGCATGCAGTAGTAAGGTTTTTGTTTCATAATAATTTTTCGTCAATAACCATTGTGAGCCGAGCCAAGCCAGACTTTTTATACATCTGGTAGTGTAATATCTCTTTCAATCAAAATCCTTGCAATAGAGTGTCTTGCCTTGAGAAATGAACTATCGGTAAGTCTACCTGTAAAGGTTTTCCAAGGATAGTCCCAATTGCATATAAGATAGGTAGGTCAAAAAATTGAAGTTTGAGTTCAGGTAATGAGAACCAGATAGGTGCAATTGAGGGTTCTTGACTGAGATTAAAATCAGGGGTTCATTTGAGCAATTTTATATGTTTGTCCTCGATTGTGATGAATTTTTTTGAGAAAATCCTTATGTAGTCTTCTTCTATACTCAACATTATCATGTCTTTCATCGAAATGACACACCTGTCAAACTCCAACTAGTTTGAAATCTTCAAAATCTTTCTTAGTAGTCTCCATCTTAAGGCTACTTAATTGGAACTTTCCAACTAGTGTAAATTTGTATTTTCCTGCATGAGTTGAAATTTCAGCATCAGAGAAGAATATTATTGGTTTGCCCGTCTTTTTTTCTACTTTCTTGATGAGATTGCAATCTTCATGTCCTGCAACAAAGTCATGGTACATCTGTGAGAATATCGGATTATCTACGAGTGGAAATGGGAGCTGCATTTGTGAACCCATGTAGCATAGGAGGGTTTGGCGGGGTTATCACCGACGAGGGGGAGGCGACGGCGTAGGAAAGCCC